ACGGGCGCGGAGCGGCGGCGTTTACCTCATGGTGTGCACGGCGCGGGACCGGGTCGGGGTTCGCTACAAGGTGGGGACGGAGGCGCCGGGAGAGGGAGGGGGAATGGGGTGCGATGGGACGGGAGGGACCGGGCCGGGTCCCCTCGTTCTATCGCGGCTGCTGAGCGCCCGCTCTGCTTCGTAGGTGCAGGAGAACATCGAGCGGTTCTTCACCCGGTTCGTGGAGGAGGGCAAGGCCACCGTCCGCCTCCGGGAGCCCGCCGTGGACGTCTGCCTCAGTAAGGTGGGTGCGGGGGCCGCGGCTGGCAGCCCGGGGCAGCCGTGAGGAATCGGTGATGTGCCCGTGCTCCGAACTGAGCGGCGTGTGGAGGCGGCAGGGCGGCTCGCCGGGGTCTGTGCCGGACAGGCCTCGGCGGGTCCCCAGGCTCTCTGCTTGGGGTCCGTCCGACAAAGGCCACGCAGCCACTAAGGCTTGGCTTAACAGTCCTGTTTGACCTGCCAGAGCTTCGGCACGGGAGGTGTAACCGAGGCGGTGTGAAGGCGCTTGGCTCTGTATGTCCTCAACAGGCTGCAGCAAAAAGGGAAACACACTTTGTGGTAGGAAGGCTGGGCCCAGCTGCTTTGCTGGGCTGTGCTCTGATTCTCTCTCTTCTGCTACCTCTGGAGAAACAGCAAGAGCAGAAAAGTCCATTTTTCATGTTGTTCTTTCTCACTTGTTCAGAGAGAAACAACTCTTTTTGTCTCTCTGATACAACATCTTGCTCTTCGGCCATAAATTCTATGAAACAGTTAACAATTACGCTCTTTCTAGTGGGAAAAAAAAGGGAGAATACTCTTGTCTTAGTGGACAAGCAGTGTGCCCACTGTGTGTTTCAAACCTGGAGACACATGGCCTGGACCAGCAGTACAGTCACTATCTCACCATAATGCTTAGCTGATGGTAGTACTCACCAATTTGTTTATTTACAGTTCAGAGGATATGTGTTTTTAATAATGGTAAACTCGCCCCTCAAAAAAATCACATATTAATGTTCAGTTTTTGCATTGTTAAGGGTTTTTTCCATGCCTGTTGCAGTTATCTGTTGTAGCCTTGTAGAAGAGGAGAGCAGGACAGCTTTTCTAAAACCTTAGGGTTAGAATGTATAAATAAAAACAACCGATTTACTGAAAAGAAAACAAATATGACCCAGCAAGAAAGAAAAAGCACTGTTTTTATTGGGAATAAGACCAATACCTGAATGTAAGCACGAATATAGTTGTGGTAGCCCAAGATTTTGCAGAATGTGGCATGGTGCTATTGTGATCTGGAAATACCTTGTCTGTGCAGGAGTGAAGGCTGTAGTAGTAAGAAAAGCAGCATTAGTTGATAGAGCAGTTTGCCTTATAGGGCTGAATAGAAGAGCAACAGCATGTGTCCAAATCCAATTAAATTTTTTCTTGTGAGAATCAAATGTGTTACATATCTTGCAAAAAAGAAAACTCACGCACGTTGCGTTAGATCCAGAATATCTTCTTGTTCTACGTCCTTTACTCTGAACACTTCTGCTGAAGTGTCAGAAGTCAGCAAGTTTTATCTTGGAACAAAGGTACAAAAGCAGGCCTGTTATAAGAGGATCTACTAGTAGTATAAAATTAGAGAGCAAAGGTCTGTGTCTTAGTGGCACAAGATCTGATTTAGACCATTTATAGGGCCTGTACGGAAACTGTGTGCAGTAATTTAGTTAAGAATTGCATCTGTTTTCAGTATGAGAAGATAGTCCACGATGTTAGACTGAAAAGAAAGTCTCAGCTGAATCCGTTGAAACGGGACTTGGAATAATGACCAGAGTTGCTCCATGGAGGCCACATCCTTGCTGGTTTTAGCATCAGGCTCTCCCTCATACTGTCAAGCTCCAGGAACACATCCACTAAATTCTTCCAGAGCCAGTGATACTACAGATTCCTCTTAAATCCTCCAAATCCAGAAACCCAGTTTAAGACGATAATTTTTCTGTAGATAACTGATATCTTGACTGATAATTTTTCTGTAGTGTTTCTGCTAGTCTTTCATAATTTCATGACAAAAAGGCTTCTTAACTTTCAAAGATGGACAAAAGCTTTGTGGAAAAGAGATTCCCAGGTACGACCATACCCACTGCACGCAAGTACCATGCAAAACCCCACTCTTTGTACTTGCCAGGCAGTGTGGAGCATTCAACCCTGGAGCAAAAATAATAAACTCACTGGTTTGGGGTGAGGTTTTTTTTCAGCAAGCCTGTGCCTGCTGCAGTGCATGCAAGATCTGAAATCCGTGTGATCTCCAATTGCCTTGTCACCATTCATTTAGCTCTGACACGAGTTTTGTAAGGCATCCACACAGATTAACCTCTTTCCCCAACATCTTTTCTGTGGTTGAGACTTCACACTCAGGGCAGAAAATTGTGTCCTGAGCCCTTCCGACTAATTCTTTCCTCTTTTTCTTAGATGTGTCTTAGTATTTTTCTCAGCATACTCAAGGTTGCCCAACAACAAGGTTTACAGATGCTGCATTGCCTTTACAAAGGTAAAGGAGGAAATTTGTCTCAAGGATCCAGAACACAAGCTACTATTATTTTGAAATCATGTGAATAGCCCATAAATTTATTCTTAACAACGTAGAGCTTTTGGCTACAAGAAACAGCATGTGCCTCGTGCTTTGAGATCAAAGAAATATTGCTTGTAACTTAATTCTAATGTATAGTTAGGGATTTTACTTGGTCTTTACAGATCTGGAGGACTCTCCTTACTTCCAGTTTTGGTCAGCTATTATCCTTGGAAGCATGACAAATCTGTCTATAGGCTGGGGGAGTTCTGTAGATAAATGATTTAGTTAGATTGGCTGAAATAATGAATGGTGGTGGCCTTGGATAGGAAGGTTTTTGATGTTCAACTTCCCAATCTGGAGGGTATCGCATGAGGAGTTAAGAGAGTAGATGTGCTTAAGGAAAATAATCATTTCAGGTTAGTGATGCAGCCAAAGAGGTTTAACCTTTATTGTCTTTATTTATATCCCATTAGCATCCAGACATCTCCAAGATCATTTCTCTGTTGTGCTAGGTGCTTATAGCACATTATGTAATGTAGTTGTGGACCCCTAGAATTTGGTTTAAACAAAGACATTTAGAAGCAAAATCATTTTTTCAGGTGTGGAAATGGGTGTCAGTAGGCTCGGGAAAGTTACAGCTGGGAACAATGCAAACCTCTCAGCTCTGAGTCATGCCAGAATTCCAATTTTGTTGTTTTCCTGCAATGAGAGATGATTTGTATGGATGCATCGTGCTTTTTAATTTAGAATTCACTTTAGAGTTTAGTGTCTGTCAGCTTGAGTAGAGACTTGCTGGAAAACTTGGAAGAGAAACATTTGGTCACCCTTGTTGTTCATAAAAATTGTATCAGTACAACAAATCTATCACAGCTTTCTCGATCTTTATTTAAAATACAGGTCATCCGATCATTAATCTGATTCCTTATTGCTTATATTATAATAATCCTATATTATATTATATCCCACTTCAAGCAAAATTAGTTGTTTGCAAATAATTATCCTCTTGTTTGCTGCTGGCACAGCCAAAGAGAGCTGTGTGTGACCAGAAGCACGCACTTAACCTGCCTCGAAACTTCCCACCTTTCTTTATGTTAAATTTAACCTCAGCTTCCATCCTTTTCCTTCCTCGCAACTTTAAGAAATGATTGCCTCAAGTTTTAGGTCTGATTTCCCCCTCTGTGTGTTTTTATAAACAGTCCCTTTACCGTGTTGCAGGTTGGGAAGATCACGGTGCATCAGGCCTTTTCTCTGTACGTTATTTTCAGCTGTGAATTCAGTGCTTTGTTCCTTTTCTGAGCAATGCAACGCAGTTTGTTTGATCTAGATTATTCAGAGAGGTTGTAACTTCCCATTCAAATTGCATTCAAATTACAACGCTGTAAACAGCATGTCAACCTAACAAGCCAGAGTTGTTTCCCTTTCCCATTCCATTGCCTTGCTGAGTTAGTAGCTCCTGATACATGTACAAAATAGTTCAGAAAGTGTTAGTACTAACGAGTGCAAGAATAATGAACTTTTAAATCCTGCGTTTGTGTTTTCCTGTAGGCAAATGCCAGCAATTTAAAGAATTTCCTTTCAGCTGTGAGACTGGCTCACCAAGGGACCGACATAGGAGCTCTCCCTCTCTCAACTTTGGTACCAGCAAAGAACTCGGAAGTTGAAAAACCCAAGACAAAAATGATCATAACTTCAAGAAGGGACTATCCTCTCACCAAAAACTTCCCTTACTCCCTCGAGCATCTCCAAACCTCGTACTGTAAACTTGCTCGGATCGACATGCGCGTGCTTTGTTTGAAGAAACTCCGAAAACTGGACCTAAGTCATAATCATATTAAGCAGCTGCCAGCTACCATCGGCGACCTGACCTGTCTTCAGGAGCTGAATTTGCACGACAATCACCTGGAGTCGTTCAGCGGGGCTCTGTGCAACTCCACCCTTCAGAAATCTCTTCAGTTCTTGGACCTCAGCCAAAACAAAATCAAAGCACTTCCAATTCAGTTTTGCCAGCTGCGAGAACTCATTAATTTAAAGCTCGATGACAATGAGTTGATTAGGTTGCCATTCAAGATTGGCCAGTTAGATCATCTACGCTTTCTGTCGGCAGCTCGAAACAAACTTCCTTTCTTGCCCAGTGATTTTAGGAAACTCTGTCTTGAGAACTTGGATCTCTTTGGAAATCCTTTTGAACAGCCTAATCCGCTTGTTCCCAACATACAACTGAAAATACCATTGACTTTATTAGAGTGTGCTGCAAGAGCAACTGTAAATTACAGGTAAGAGGTGGCACGATGGGCACACATTACACCTGCTCAATTTCAAACCTGTCAGGGCTAAACTTTCCTGACTTTTTGTTTTTTTCCTGTTTCTTCAGCTATTAAAAATCATAAGGTTGAAGTTGCTTTGCATTCCACTTGAAAATCTTCCCTTTGGTATAGAGGATAACGTAGTAAATTGGCGACTTGGAAGCGTTTAGAGAAAGCTGTAGGTTGAAATGGTTTTACCCACAAAATGGGGGCACTGTAACAGAATATTCATGCTCAGCCACAGAAAAAGAGAATCAGTTCTACAATCCTGAACCACTTCTGTATTGGGGAGCTTACGCTGCAGTGGATTTTGTGGCACGGATCATATTTTGTGTTGGGCTCTAGCTTGGAAATTGCTTCCCAAGTGGTTGCCCTTCATCTTTAGAAAGGTACCACGAGGTGGCTTCTCGGGGGGCGAGTGTCACGCTGGAGTTGGCTTTACCTGCTGCCAGCTTCTCCCTACCGTAGGATCTCCTCAGGTGTTGGAGTGAGGGTGTTCTGCCTTATGCAGAGAAACCCAGTTCTGAGGTAATTTTAAAATTATTATTGCACCAAGTAAATATTATTCTTGCCAGGCTGCAAGTTTTCTCCCCTTCCCCCCACACCGCCGCTGCCTGTGATCCTGCCGGTACCAGCTGCTGCTCCTCCCACCCTGTTCTGGGCGGAAAGGGAGAGAGAAGATGGAAAGGAGTCACAGAAAGGGGGTGAGAGACAGGCTTGAGGCGTTCCTAAGCTACGTTCTGTGCCCATTCCTGCCTTGGGAGTGGGGAGTGCCCAGTAACCTGGGTTAATGCCTCGGAAGTCTGTGCTGAAGGTGTCCACAGGCATGCAGGACACGCCCTGGAAATGAGCTGAGCAACCAAACCTGCTTCAAATCTTACCCACTTCTGACCCTGCTGCTTTTATAAGCGCAATTAAACTCCACGTGTCTTCCAACTTTATAGATATTTTAGTGGGTTTGATATAAACATTAAGGCATGGGTTGATGGTTGGTTTTTTTTTTTTCCTAGAGAATATAATCCCTCAACACCGGTCAGATTTTAGTGCTCAGTTCCATTACCTGAGGATACCTAGTTGTTAACCCAGCCCCTGTGCAGCAGGCTTTAAGAAAATGGCAGCACACAGAACAGAAACAGCTTTCTGCTCTGGGAGTCTCAGTGAGACAAGGGGCAAAGGAAACAGTCCCCTCGCCCCCCGATGCTGTGATTGTTTATAATAGTATTTATGTGAATATTTATAATATTAGGAGACAGCATTGGTCAGAGTGATCTTGATTATCTTAAACAGAAGAGAGGAAAAAGGAAAAAAAAAGCCTTAAGTGGGCAACAGACATTCTGTCTGACATTCACTGGAGGTGAGAATGAACAAAGAGGAAGAGAAGTGACGATGGGCTGTAAAAACCTGGAGAAAGGAAGAAAACAGAAAGAGGGAAGACACAAAAGTAAATGTTTGGAAATCAGTCTTCATAATGGCATTCTGGGCAAGCACCAGAGCTGTGATGATGCTTTTCCTGACCAGGGAAAAAAAAAAAAAAAGGATGTCCTAAATTGAGGTGGTGGGGAAAAAAAACAAACCTCGCAGGAGTCTTCGCTATGTGAATGATGGTATGTAGGAAGAATTGGGAATGTGTAGGCGTAGTTGGGATGAGTCAGTGAGACCTATCCTGTGCGTCTGGAGCGACAGCTGGGCACTGGCGATACCCACACTTGGAAGTTTAACTCGCCAGAATACTTCAGGGCAATTATTTTGTACCCCAAACACGATACCACTCTGCTACAAATTTCAAAAGAAGCAATTCTTGTTCCTGTCTCTGGATGTCATTATTGACATGGTGGATGGAAGGAGCTGTGCATCAAGAGAACATTTAATTTATCATCTGTAGTGTAGCGCCGCTGTAAAAAAGGCTCTTTGGGTTTTTTTTTCTCCTGTTTCCTCTGGATACATTTTTACACTACTACCACTTCGTCATGGTAGAGAGTGAGGAGTAAATTGTGGGCGCTTTGTCAGGCCAGGATGAAATGCAGTGATCTTCCCGGCTACTGTGAGGGAGGAGCAGATATGTGCCCAGTTATCTCATTATTCCTAATCTTTCTAATTCTCTATCGCAGCGATACAGGCTGTTAGGGTTTGTGTGACCTCCCTGGTTCTTGTTGTTTTCTGGAGTTCAGGTCATTGGTATTTAGGGGTCAGTAACATGGTGACATGTTTTTAGTGAGTCTCTTGGAAAGTGGCATTTAATTCCTAACCAGCTCAATATCACAAGAGGCGAAATTTCACATTTGCCTTGTTTTTTGTGAGCTCAGAAAAGCGTTTCTTCCCGCAGGTGCACACGGCGTGTCACTGCCTTTGAGTGACTTTGGTTAATTTTGTAGTGAATTCATGCTGACTCCTCTTGTTCAACAGAATCCCTTATGGTTGTCACCTCCTTCCTTCTCACCTTTGCGAAGATCTAGAAGTGGCCAAAACATGCCAGTGCGGGAGTGCCTGTCTGAGCAGCTTCGTTCAGATCACGGTGACCATGAATCTCCACCACGTCGCTCACACCGTGGTCCTCGTGGATAACATGGGAGGTACGGAAGCACCCATCATCTCCTACTTCTGTTCTCTAGACTGCTACTCCCAGTTCCTGGATAGGTACCTGCAGAGTAATGGGTGACCATTATCAGGTGCAAAAGCTCTGCTGAAGTCCTGTCCACTGACGAGGGAGCCCGAAATTGTTTTCTGCTTGTTACCCACACGTGCTGTCTTAGGGCGTTTGCTGCAGAGAGCAAATGTTAGTCTTGCAGTGTCAGCCCGATCCGGTGGCCTGACTGTTCCTCCACCACTAGAATCTCTCTCTGGTTGGAATAAAAAGCAATGCTTAGCTTGAATGAATCCTCCTTAGAATGTATTTTGCTTCCTTTTCCCTATTACTGTGACTTTGTTCAGAGTACCACGACAGTTGTCTTTGTTTTGTGGGGTAAGTGCTTTCTTCTGGCTAGGGGAAGGAAGGTTTGCTCGTATCAAACTTTGCTTGCTTACACTTGAGGTTCTGAATTCTGCCCACAGAAGGTGACTGTGTTGGCTTTATTACTGGACCGGGCTCTTCCCAACTTGTTTACTGTAGAGCAACTTGACAGGCTGCTCTGAGGAGAAATTACAGTTCAAAACTGGTCATGTCATTCCAGGTGCTTCTTTTTTAAACAGTTCTGTTACAGCATTCTCCCTTCAAGCAGGGACCAGCATTGCTGGTTTTTTATCAGAGCAAATGTTTTTGGTTTTATCTCTTTGTGATACAAGAAATGTCTTTTTCTTTTTTTTTTTCTAAATATGTGACCTAAACTTTGTTTCATAACTCTCACATTTTAAAGGTTCTTAAATTGTTCACCGTGTCGATTTATTAAATTTTGAAACCCTTCTACGTACAATGTGAATTGTGTTTTCTCTAATGAGTTTTATCATCCAGCGTATTCTAGGGGATTAGCTCCTGGCCTTTTTCCTGGTGAAGATGCCAAAATACTTGAGAGTATCCACGCACCCTTAGTTCATGTCTTGTCAGCTGGTCGGTGGCTGGGGTGTTGGAACAGCGTGGAACAAAGGGCCTGGTGACATGTGATGGCTTGGAGGCAGCACGTGATGCTGCTGGTTTTGAAGCAGTATTAACTGCCCAGGAGTGAATTGCGCATTTTGCATCTCTTTGGGTCACAGATAAATACACCTGTGGCAATTACATGTAGTTTGAATGGGAAAACAAGACACCTTTAGGTATGGAGAGCAGAACTGAGCTAGACTGGGCTTTGGGGGACAGTGTGAGGAGCAGCCTGAGAGGCAGCAGCAGGCTTGGGGAGACTGCTGGCTTGCAGGTATCACTTAACATCTCCTGCGTGAGCACAACCTGCACCAGCGTTTTCAAAATCATCCCTTTCGAACGCTTTACTAATCCAAGGCATTCACAGCAGAAATAAATATTGAAGCACGCCTACTGAGGGGCTTCACTCCGACAAGGCCAAGAGACACATTTTCCTGAGGAAGAGGAACCTTTATTTTAGAAATACTGAGTGTCATTAACATCTCCTGCGAATGTCAAAATAACTCAACTGTGTTCTTTTCACATGACATCTGTAAAACCGTAACTTTTAAGCAACTACAGGAAGATCTGGATGAATCATTCCTTATACGTTGCTCTTCATCTACGGAGAATTTGTGAAGGAGGAAGCAAGTGTGCCTGTTTACCTCCACACCAATCGTCGGCAAGCGCTGCAGAGCGAACCACGGGGGTTTTAAAGAGGCATATGGTAATGCTGGTGTAAAGGGAGGGAGATCTCCTGATTGCAGCAGCCTGGAGATTACTCATTTGGAAAAATACCTCTTAGGTGGAGTGTGTGATTAAGAGGAGGGGAGTAGAGGCAGAAATTTGGCCTCCTGTGGGACTTCTTGGGGAATTTTAGATGCAGATGTGTGGCCAAAGCCTTGAGGGCAGCCAGCTGTGCTGGGAGAAGGGATCAGCTGGGGGTTTAAAGGCTGACGTGAAGAGAAGCACAACCTCTCAGCACGAGAAGGGAGCTGTCTGCTGTGGGAAAGGGTTTTTTCCGTGGGAATAATTTGCTGACAGCTCTGCATGTCTTGCTGAGTTGTTTTTTTTTTTAAAACCCCACACGAGCGCTGGGCTGGCGTTATCTCTGAAGCGAACGTCATCCCCAAAACGGACCTGGCTTCCCTTCCTCCTCTGAGGCTGCAGCAGCTGGTGGAGGGCAGGAGGCTGTCGGAGCCTGCAGAGGTTCTTCCCCAGCTGGCGTGGCCTTGTGTTGCTACCGACGCAGCTTCTGGTGAAGTCCTGTCACCTCCACGGAGGTCAGACACAGGGATGAGCTTTCCAGACGCCGTTTTCAACAAAAGATGAAGAAAAGGGAAGTCTTGTGCAGCCAAGCAGAGGGGTCGGAGGGGTGTAAAATACCCACAAGTTGCCTTGAGAACCACTTCCAGCCAACTTCCTCTTCTCAGTGTTTTGCAATCCCCGCAAACAAGCTCTCCCCGTGCCGCAAACATTTGTCTCGGTAGGGTGAAGGCCTCTGATGGCAGCAAGGTGCTGGGTGAGGGAGTTGGGTTCGGGGCTCGCTGGCTGCAGAGGGACGAGCAGCCGGGGCAGCCGCTGCGCTCCGTGCCTGCGCTCGGCCGAGGCAGCCAGAAGGTGGCGGAGGAGCCAAAGCCCTTCTTCAGAGTTCGGGAAAGCCACAGCACAAATCTCCAGCGGTTTTCCTCGCCCGCGGTGTTTCTTAGATTCCCCCTTTCTCACTTCTTAACAGCGCGTTGAGCTCGTCTTGGGGGGGAAAAAGGCCGATTAGCAGGTGTAGGCGCTGTCGCAGACGGCAAAAGACAAGCACGGTTCTGCTTGATACTGCAAGACAGGGGTGTGAGTGACCCAGCGAGGGCTTTTCTTAGAAAAAATGGGACTGGGCAAAAATAATTCTTTTTAAAAAAACACTATTTGACCTCATTTATCGTACTTGTGGGGAACTGTAGGGCCATTTGTGTGGTTTTTATCTTCACTGCAGAGCAGCCTCTCTTTTAAGGCGTGCTCTTCTTTAAGGCCAGGCTTGAAAACCACCAGTTTTACCCAGGTGATTAGGAGAAACCTGCGGAGTTACGCAAAGCTTAGCTGGGGTCAGCAAAGGTCAAGCCATAAAACTGTCATTAAAAAAAATGTGTCCTCAACGCAGAAGCATCGCTCCTGTCCCTGCTGTTCGAGCTGTTTGCAACGTTGGAGGCGAAGGTCAGAGTCGAGTACTGCAGGGCTCAGTCTCCTCGGAGTTTGAGGACGCTTTTAATTGCAATTCAAACCTGTCCTCACTAATCTCGTTTTGGGGGGAAAAAGCCTCGATGTTGGGGTCTCAGTTTGGTACTCCTGAACGCTGCATTCTTTAGTCCATTAAAGAACGATGGGATCATTCTTTAATTGGTCTGATTTTGCTGTGCTGATTCCACTTTGCATTATGTGAGTGCTTTGTGACCTTTAATATATTATTTATATTATATAGTTACTTTTTTTATTTACGCTGCCCATGTGACGGGCAGCATTACCCCAGCTGGACGGTGTTTCAGTTGCCGGAATTTTACCCACAACTGTGGAAGATGTTAAATCTGGCTCTGTGGAAGCCACCTTCATGGTGGAAGAAATAGTTTAAAATGAGAGAAATGAGGATTGATCTTAACCCAGACTAAAAAATAAACCACCCCCAAACCTGCAGGTATCGGTACCGCCCTACGCTGGGGCTGCTGGCGGCCGCTGCTGTCCCCAGACTCGTCTCGGGGCTGGCTGTCAGGTTTGTGAAGCTTCTGGAAGGAAAATCGGCGCAATTTCTGCCAACGCAAGGCGGAGCCGTGGCGGGGGAGCTCTCCTCCTCCTGCGGGTCCCCAGCACCCGCCTGGGTGGCTGCGTTTTCCCCTCAGGAGCTCACCCCGCCGGGGCATGTGGCATGAAATTGTCCCCAAATTTCACAGCTGCCCCTGAGGAGAGGGGCTGGGACACAAAGTGTGGCAGGACGAGCAATTCTTGCAATTAATTGGAGAATCATTATTCTTGTAATTTTAAATTACTGTCTTATATTGTTCTACAAATGTTTCCCTACGTTCTTGTAATTGTAGTATTATATTATTCTTGCAATTCTAGATTTTTCTTATTGCAGTTCTAGAACTATTTGACCTTTTTTTCCCCTACTCTAGAACTTCCTTCTAGAATTACTTTCTTACCACCTTCTTGCTGTTCTAGAACGATTTTATTCTTGCAGCTCCAGAATTTTTTCTTAGAGTTCCATAGTTTTCTTACCTTATTCTTGCAGTTCTGGAACTATTTCACCTTATTGTTGCAATTCTAGAATTGTTTTCCTTTTATCCTCTTTCAGATGTAGAATAAATTTGTTCATGCAATTCTAGAATTTTCTTGTCCTTGCAATACTAGAATTTTTCTTATTGCAATTCCAGAACTATTTTACCTTGGTTTTGCAATTCTATAACTTTTCTTACCTTCTTACAATTCTAGAATTACCTTGTTCTTGCCGTTCTAGAACTATTTTCCTTTATAGTTGCAGCTCTAGAATATTTTCTTGCAATTCCATAACTGTTTTCTTACCTTATTCTTGCCGGTTTAGAACTATTTCACTTTATCCTCGCAATTCTATAATTGTTTTATCTTCTTTCAAATACAGGATTACATTTATTCTTGAAATTCTAGTATTATCTGGTTCTTGCAATCCTAGAATTGGCTTCCTGCCCCTCCAGACTGAATTTCTTTTTCTTGCCCTTCTCGAGTGACTTTATGTACTCTTTCAAATCTAGACTCGTTGTCTTGCAACCCTAGAATTATTTTCTTCCTCGCAATTCCAGAATGATTTTCTCAAGTACGGCTCCTGCCACTCTCGAACTAGTTTATCTCCTCTTACATTATTCTGGCAAATCCTGGATCCTTTTCTTACATTTCTCCTGAAATTCTAGAATTATTTTCCCTTAACTCTTCCCCCTCCAGAAGAATTTTCTCCGGGCCCCTGTGCGCACGCCCCCGCCGCAGCCCCCCCCACGTTAATTTTGCCTAATTAACACCCCCCCCCAATTACCGCCGGCCAATCCCGGCGCGGCCGGGCCGAACCCCTTGGGGCCGAGCACCGG